TCTGAATATCTGATTTTGTTCAATATGTGGAAGTGTAATATGTAATACTTCTATGTATGATTGTATGGTGGAAGCTTTAATATGATTGTATGATTTGTAATCTCCCTAAAATGTGGATACTGATGCCCATCTTTATAGATGGAAAGCATCAGTGCAACTGGACACCCTCCAACCTCAACTGATGAGGAGCATGGAGTAGAAGCTCAAGGTACTGAGAGAAATCCTCAGACAAATCCTATGCCTTCTCCTCCTGTTGTTCCTACAAAGAAGAGGAAAGAGGTGGAGTCTAGATCTATAGTATGGGATCATTTTGAAAAGATACGTGCTCCACCTACTGAAGGTGAAACTGAGGGACCAGTAGTTGAGGGCAAATGCCTTTATTGTGCCAAAATTTATAAATGTGAAAGTAAAAAAGCATGGCACTTCTTCTTTGAAAAACCATATGAAGGCCTGCCTAAAAAATCCTCATTGTAAGGACACAAGGCAGTCTCTTCTCACCTTTAATGCCTCTGGAACAGAAGCTTCTGAGGGGGTTTTGGGGACTTGGGTTTTCAACCAAGAGGCTATTAGGAGGGCATTGTGTGAGATGATCATTGTTGATGAACTTCCCTTTAGGATTGTTGAGGGAAATGGCTTTAGGAAATTCATTTTAGTTGCTTGTCCTAGGTTTCAAATCCCTTCTAGGTGGACCATTTCTAGAGACATTTATCAAATTTACCTAGATGAGAGAATAACCCTAAAAAAGTTGTTTAAGGTGAGCACCCAAAGGGTCAGCTTGACCACTGATACATGGACCTCTGTCCAAAGGATCAATTACATGTGCATTACTGCACATTTCATTGATGATCATGTGGAAGCTAAACAAAAAGATCATTTCCTTTGTCCCAATTTCTTCTCATAAGGGAGAGTACATAGCCAAAGCCCTTGAGAGTTGTCTTCTTGATTGGGGGATTAAAAATGTCTTCACTGTTACTGTTGATAATGCCTCTTCAAATGACACAGCTTTGGGGTTTTTCAAGAACAAACTTCTGTCTTGGGGTGGGTCTTCTGTTAGGGTTCAATATATGCACATGAGGTGCATAACCCATGTGTTGAACTTAGTGGTCCAGGATGGGTTGAGATATGCAGGTCCTTCTGTTAAGAAAGTTAGAGATGTTGTGAGATGGGTGAGGAGTTCTCCTGCCAGACTTAAGAAGTTTAGAGAGATTACTGTGCTTAATGGGGTGGAAGCCAAATGTGCATTACAACTTGATGTTTCAACAAGATGGAACAGCACATACATGATGCTTAACAGTGCCCTTCAATACCAGAGGGCCTTTGAAGCTTATGAGAATGATGCCTCATTGAATGCTGACTTATCTGATTCTATTCCAAATTTTATGGATTGGCTTTCTGTGCAAAGCTTAGTCCATTTCCTGAAAGGCTTCTATGAGATGACTGTGAGAATATCTGGTTCTCTCTATGTCACTTCAAATACTTTCTTTTCTGAGATTTCTGACTTAGGTTGCATGCTGGATGACATGGTTAACTCTGTTTCAACCTCTGAAAAGGTAAACACTAAACTGTTAACATTTTTCTGAATGTGTTTGTATGCATATGTTAATTTTTTCTGTGTTATGTCTGTTTTATAGGAAATGGGGTCCCATATGAAACAAAAATTTGAAAAATATTGGGGAGATCTTGAAAAAATGAACTTCTTGATATTCTATGCCAATATTTTGGATCCTAGGGATAAGATTGAGTATATGCCTGCCCAATTTGCCCAGTTGTATGGTGATGAAAAAGGAAAATCATGCTTTGAAAAGGTTCAATCTTCTATGGTTCTGCTGTTTAATGATTATACAGCCACCTACCATGTGCAGTCTGCATCCCCTACTGTGCAACCTACCCAATCTGAACCTGTCCATTCTCAAACTTCAGTTGGAAAACCTCAGGCTAGAATGAAAAGCCAGCTTAAAAAACAGAGAATGGAGACTGGTGGAAGCAGTAAAGAAACTGAACTCCAGATTTATCTAAGTGAAAAATTAGTGGAAGATGAAGAAAATGTGGACTTTGATGTCCTAAGATGGTGAAAGGTTAACAGTGATAGATTTCCTATACTCTCTAGAATGGCAAGGGATGTGCTGGCTGTTCCCATTTCAACTGTTGCCTCTGAGAGTGCATTCAGTACTAGTGGTAGGGTATTAGATCCCTTTAGGAGTTCCTTAACTCCTAAAATTGTTGAAGCCCTAGTATGTGCACAAGATTGGTTGAGGGCACCCAATCATCCAATCTCTGTTGAGGAAAACTTGGATGATGTTGAAAGATTAGAGAAGGGTACCTTTTCTAACTTTTTAGGTTTCAACTTTAGAAATTGTTAATTGTTACCTTTATTCTAAACTATTTTTTGTTTATCCTTTTTGTGCAGAATTGTCCACTGGAGCTGTTGGTTCTTTACCAAGTGCTGTTGGAACACTCCCAACAATTGCTGTAATACTTTTATATAACATTGCTTTCTGACTTTCTGTTTAGTTTGATTGATAAATGTGTGGACTCTTTGAGGCAACTCAGGTAAGATTCCAGAACTGCTAATTGCTAAGTGGCTTGGTAACTTTTTTATAAATGTTTCTGCCCTTAGGCCTTAGCCCCTTACTCAATTATATCTCTGGAATTCTGGTATTTCACTTCCCTTCCTCTCATATTCTCCTTTCTGTTTAGTTATTATGGCTATGATGATGCTTCCACCATTTGTCTGAATTAAAAGGACTTTGGGTGTTTGGTATGTTGCTCTGAGACAAAACTCATGAAGCAATTTCCCCCAAACTCTAAAATGATATGAAAAAAAAGCAATCTGAGCCTATCTTATTAATTATTATTAGTTCTCTACTTCTCTTTGTCTTTACTCTTTATTGACTTTAAAGTTTAAATCGTTTAATGGTTTTATAATTGAACAGGAAGATGAGGAATGGATGAATGCTGATTGGTAAAGGCTGATTGGTGAATGCTGAGTACTTTAGTAATTAGTATTTAGTACTTAGTAGTTTAGTGTTGTTGATTTTCTCATTTTGTGAACTTCATTTTTGCTTTTTGAACTGCAATACATAATTATGTAATTATGTATGTAAATGTCTACATAACTTTGGTAATTTAATTTAGGGTTATTACAATATTACTTATTAAGTTTCAACATTTTTAAAGTTTTTTTTTTTTCTATGTTTTATAATCCGACTACAAACCGAAATCCGAACCCCAACCCGACCGTATCCGAACAGGTGAAATCTGAGAGGATTTCCCTCTTAATTCGAACGAATTGGGGTAGTTTTCCCCAATTCAAAATCTGATCGGATGGACGGATTGGCCATCCGATCCGTCCGAATCCGACCGATGCTCAGGCCTACTTATCGCTATGTGAACCAAACAATCCACCTAATAAAGTTTAGGCACAAATACAATAGGATTGCTGATTATTCAACCTCAATCGGTGGGCAAAAATTTTATATGAGATTGCGTAGGGATCGCGTGAACGCAGGTCTCCTCTACCACAAATTATGACGTAGACTCCACCATTACAGTAGACCTTAAATTGATACCCTTCCTAAGTGCAATAGAAGTCATCAATTTAGGCCATAGGCCTTGTTGATCGCCCATTGACCCTGTCCAGGTAAGTATGAAACCAATTATTACTCGGCCCATTTTTATAACCCATTGCTGTGCTCCACCTTTTGTCTTCTGTCGATGTGGGAATCCCTTAAGTATGCAAGTGAACTGTTTCTTCTGCTACTCTTTTCTTATTGATTTGGGTCTAAGTGATGTACCGCATGGCCGGATTTTAGGGCGTGCAAGATGCACAGCACATGACATTAATTTTGAGAGGGCCGAATATTTATTTTTGACCTAGCTACTTAAGAAATTAAAAAAAAAAAATCTACATCTACAATTAATCTTAAAACTCATTAATTTTTTTTCTAAAGCACTTCTCTCTCCTAATAATTAGGACCTAATTAATTGAGCATGGCAAACCATTCTAACTGAAAAGAAGAGTCATATATTTTGCAGTATTGATTTTAAAGATTCTCACTTATACTTTTGGCAAGGCTCTCATTTATTTATAAGAACGGGACCACAAAATACCAAAAATCGGCTCTGACTTGTAACCCATCTAGACTCTAGTGTTAAAAAATAAAGGTGTTACAAATTGGTATCAGAACCCTAGTTATTAGTCTTAAACTCTACGAGCCTGGAAGATTTACCTATAAGATAAGTACTTAAAACTGAGACATTAAGGGGCCATTTACTAACTGAAAATTTCTGAAAATTAAAAAATATAAAATAGAAAACATGTTTACTAGCACAGTTTTCCATTTTGAAAATCAAAAATAATTTTCAATTTTCTAAAAAAACTGGGTTTTCTAATTTCATATATTAAAAAAAAAAAAAAAAAAAAAAAAAATTGGTTAACACACATATACATACATGCTATTATCAAATGTGCTTATAATAGTTTACATATTCATAAACAAACGACCAATGACATTTGATAAGAAGATGCAGTGTTGTAATATATCTTAAATAGGTACAATTACAGTTTTGTCTAAATAATTGAAAACGAAACAAAATTTACCGACTGACATGAGTTATATTGTCATTCATAAGTTGTACATGTTTTATTCCTGTTTTTTAATTCTGCTACATAAACTCCCAAATCATATTACTCCTTAATGTGACAGGCACTGATAGGCTATTTTTTTCATGTGAGCCCCAAATAGACTACTTTTTTCATGTGAATCCCAATAAAGTGTTTACATTACATGTATGGTAGTAAAAATTGATAATAGAAAATAAGAGTACATATAATATTTTCCTTTATTTTATTTTATTTTATTTGTTGACTTCTTCTCGTACTTGAAATTCTTTTACTGCACACAAAAATACACTGAATTTGCTCTATTGAGGGAAGGCGCCTTCCCCTTTTATACATGCATCAGCTCACTCTCTATACACTAAATTCAAAGCAAGAGGCACATCTCATCACAATAATACTTTCTCCAACCAACCAATTATTAGAATTTTGCAGAATTGCAGTAACACAATAATATAATACCCGAATTTTAGTTTCAAAGGAAATAAATAATTGTTAATGCACAGCCTACGCCAATCAAATGTGTAATTTAGTCCCGCAAACGGTCCATCCATGTTTTACCCCCCAAAAAAAATACAACCAGAGTGAGTACATTGCAAGAGGAGACCAAGCAAGCAAGCAAGCAATCTAAGTGAGAGGGCAGTGGATATAGAAAACTAGAACTTGGCATAAGCACCTGGCTCCTCCGAGATATTGAAACTGGCTCCTAAAAAGCCATACGCCCGGCCAACCTGCTTTCTGATATTCTCCGGTCAATTGCTGCATCTATTGAGCTCATCTGACACATGTAAAATCAGAATAGGAAATTAGAGCTTGAATGTAACCAGCAATCAGCATGATGAACCAGTCTGATAATATCAGACTGCCTCAGTAACAAATCTGCAAAAGAATCTGACCTGGGCCAAGTTTGAGCCACTGTTCGACCACTAATAGCTTTATTTTAACAAAAAAATAGTCATGCACAAACCTTTTGGGTATGTATGTTCTTCCACCCAGAATATATAAAATAGATAAACATAGAAAGAGCATACTTGTCAGAAACATGAGAGCTTTGTTCGAATGTTGAAGATTCCTCTAATTGAGGTGCACTTGCCAGATCGTTATATAATTATCAGCAAAGATGATAATGAAAATACGTACTTGAATCACTGATGGCCACAAAATGTGGGGATTGCTAGCCAAGTGGAAAATGGCAAACAATTAAAAGAGAAACGGTAAAGCAGCCCATCACAATCAAGAGGGTTGAATTGTAGACACAGTAGATTGGATTGCTTTGATATGATGTGATACAGCATAACTAAATTTTTTAAGGGGAGGAAAGAGATTACTTGAACTGATAAATTAGCTTCACGAAAATGAATTCAAAAAAAAAAAAAAAAAAACCTTCTAGTTCATGGCTAAATTTAGCTATGTGTAAAGTGTTATCAATAATTACTATCATTTTCCCAAGGGGAATTCAATTTGTTTAAACAGGAAATATCAGTAAATGATTGAAGCTTGTTGCATATGTAAATCCAATCCATCTAAATTCACTAACAGAATGTTTGATTCATGGAATAGGCCAGGAATAGAATAGCACTCCCAGAAATAGGTCTATTGCATTGTTTGGTTAGTCTTTTTATTCCTATGAATACTCTTGGAATGAGCTATTATTCCCTTTACAAGTTACAAGGGGAATATAGCTATTCCGAGGGGAGGCCTAGTACATTAAGCTATTCTTGAATTCTCGGAAATAGCCTATTTTTGTGATGCCTACTTTTTTGTTATATATTAAAAATTTATCCTATAGTAATATAATGTTAGCTTTGTATTTGCTAAACGGTCAACGAATATAATGCATATTAAGCACACAAACACATTCATAGCTAATCGTAAGGAATGGAGGTCCACCCCTCCGGCCTTTATTGATGTACTTTGTTCTGATTTGAATTAATGCATTTTCCTTGCAAAAAAAAAAAGTAATAATAATAATATATTATTATATGTATATACAGACACCCGTGTTGCAAAAATCGGGCCTAGGCGCCGATTACCGATTAATCGGCGCCTAGGCGCTAGGCGGTCGGCCAACTAGGCGCCCTAGGCGGTCCCCAGGCGCCTAAAGATTTTTTCAACCTTGATAGACACACATAATTTATATATATAAATATAACACAATTTATTTTGTTAATACCTTTCTTTGCCCTTAATCAATTTTATGCATTGTACAATGGGAATATAGCTATTCCGAGGGGAGGCCTATTATATTAAGCTATTCAGAATTCTCAGGAATAGACTAGGGACAAATTTGCAACTCCAGTTATAACTTTGTGTATATACAAACACATACACACAAAATTTATATATATATATATATATATATATATATATATATATATATATATATATATAGGGGGAAGGGATCAAGTGCGGGAGGGGCTTCTCGTGCGGTTGGACGTACATTAAGCATTAACTAACGCACTTTAAGTACACAACACATGCATATTAAGCACACAAACAAAACACCTTCAGAACACAAACCCACGCACGTTAAGCACAAAGCTCACGCATGTTAATCACAAGCCTCACGCATGTTAAGCACAAGTCTCACGCACCTTAAGCACAGAACTCAGGCACCTTTTAAGTTTCAACAATTACTAACATTAAGCACAAACCCACGCACGTTAAGCACAAAACTCACGCATGTTAAGCACAAAACTCACGCATGTTAAGCACAAAACTCACGCACTTAAGCACAAAACTCACTCACTAAAGTTTCAAACAACAACTCACATTAAGCACAAACCCACGCACGTTAAGTACAAAACTCACTCACTAAAGTTTCAAACAACTCACGTTAAGCACAAGACTCACGCACTTCAAGTACAAAACTAACGCACGTTAAAACCGCACAACCGCACAAGAAACACTTAAATGCACTGGAACTTAATTATATATATATATATATATATATATATATATATATATATATATGTGTGTGTGTGTGTGTGTGTGTGTGTGTGTGTGTGTACACACACATATAGACACATACAATTTATTTTTTTAATACCTCTCTTTGCCCTTAATCAATTTTATACATTGTAAATGCTTGCTATAATAATAATAATAATAATAATAATAATAATAATAATAATAATAATAATAATATTATTATTATTATTATTATTATTATTATTATTATTTTACACGCAAATATCATTCATAATAGAGGATATTTACATCTGTTGGGGGCTTATTGCACTTCTATTCCTTAAAACCAACCAAACAATGGAATACAATCCTTGAAGTTTATTCCTTTCACAAACCAAACAAAGGAATAGAATTTATATTCTAGTCCCTGCTTATTCCATTTCCTATGGAATAGGATTCCTATTCCTCCAAAATTCATTCTATGAACCAAATGTACTGCAAGTGTAACTTACTGAAAGGAGAGGAAAGAGATTGGAAGCACTTACAAATTTGCTTTATGAACATGAAACAACAGAAAAGAATTGAATCTGGTTAAGTGGAATACAACTACTATCCATCTGACAGAAATGCAATTCATGACCATAACCATATGAAATAGTACCAGTACAGGGTAATTGTGACTTACCTGGCTAGTAACATCATGCACCTGATACTTTGGTAATGACATTCTTCTTTCTTCCTGCAAGAATTCCAAATCACAACCATGTAAGACATGTTTACAACATTAGTCAACTTTGTCACCAAAGGGGAGACTACTGACCATGGACATAGCTTCATCATCCCAAACCAGGTAGACTTCATTTGTTGTTGGCTGAGTAGCAGGAGCTTTATTAGCAATTACAGGTGGTGGTCCAATTGAAGGTCCACTAGTATTAGGCCCAGAGGCATAAGAATGTGAATTCACTGGTACTGCAGCTGCGATAAATGAATTTAAGGGGATGTTATCAAAGCAAAAATAGAAGTGCCATAAGTGCTGGACAAGCCATTAAAGAATGCATTGAATGTAAAGGAAAAAGATACAAAATAAGAATGAAAAATGACATTAAACCTCCCTAATATTGGAGGGATTATTTTCAATATCTCATTCAAAAATCATATGACAATGTTTGCCCCAACAGCAATCATTATGTAGAAACTGTAAAAGTTAAAACCAACTAAAGAATTACCCATTAACCATCTGATAAACCTCTTAGAACTCTATTTTTGAGAGGATGTTTATCAATATTTTGAAAGTACTTTAAACTAGGACTAGGTATCCAGAGAAGTATTGAAATCTTCTCATAAATTCACTTTTTTGGTTGGTGAAAGTAGCCAAAACACTTGAATTTAATAAATATCTGATATCAATGGCTCAATGCTAAACTATTTTATATTTTTCTCCATTAGAAACCACAATTTTGATACAGCAGATAATAAAATGAATCAAACCTTGTGAGCCTGCAGCCTGATAGCCATTTATTGCCGGAGTGCTGTTGGCTAGGTTTGGGTCAACTGAGCTCTGCACTTCAGCTGAAGAGCTTGTTGAAAGTTTAGGTGCCGAAAATGGTGAACTCTGAGCAGGAATACTGTTCGGATGAACAACCGGAAACAACGGTTGAGAAACCGGAATAGATGATGTAGCTGTTGGCAACCCTGGAGGAGTAACTGGAAATGATGTCAGGGTTGGAGGAGCAGTGGATGGAACAGGGAGTCTCATATTCTGGACAGGGAATAAGGGCTGTTGTGGCAAGCTGATAGGTGGAGGTGGTGGCACTGAGACAGCAGGATACTGTGAATACCACGTCTGAGGTCGGGGTGGAGTTGGCCAACCAGGACGGGGCATAGGTATAGCAGGATTATACCTGCATTAGTTCAGCCAAAAAAAAATGTTATAGAAATTCCTGCCTCCACATCAAAAGAATGATGCTTATAACATAAACAGGAGACTTTACAGATTCCATGGTTCAAGAAAGCAAAAGGGCCATAAAGGATTTTGCAAATAGAAGCAAACAAGAATATTTAGAAGACACAATTCCCAAAAAAAAATAAAAAAATACAGAAGCACAGAAGACACTCTGCACCTTTATGAACTTTAGTAGGGGAATGAATAGAAAATAAAATATTATTCAGGAACTACAACTCCAGCACACAAATTGAAACATAGTTGACAACACAGATCAGCTTTCAGTCTATACACTCCTTCCATTTTGGCCCATACATATATCTAGCTTTTGAAACACTCCTTTGAAACACTCCATTGGAGCAGATTAATACAATCCAATCTCTAAAGGATATATTAAATGGATTGAGACAAACAATCAAATTTAAAAGGCAGGCAGCTGCATGGAAGTCAACCAGGCCAGATCACACTTGCAACTTATAAACACAGAGGAGTAGACAGGAAAAAGAAGAGTCAGATGAAAACATTAGGGGCCGTTTACTAACTGGAAATTTCTGGAAACTGAAAATAGAAAACAGAAAACATGTTTACTAGCACAGTTTTCCATTTTAAAAACTGAAAACAATTTTCCAGTTTCCTAGAAAACTGAAACACTCTTAAAAACTGTTTTCTAAATGAAAAACAGAATCATTTATCATCTATTTAGTTATATGTCACTATAACCACATTACTATGATTACATTTATTATCATCTTATTTTACTTATCACTATCTTCTATCTTTTCTACTTACTTTACTTATTTAAACATAACTTATTTGCTTACACTTTAAAGTTAGACATTATTTACATTATCAAAATTAAGAATTAAACTCTATATATATAATGTTTTAGATTTTGATTGAACTCAATAGATTATTAGTTCGAATATTTTTAATTATGTTACATCCTAATACAAGTTCGGTCCAAATATCGGATATTGAAATCTCACATATATTAGAATTCAAAGTAAAAGTTATATATTCATATACATGTCATTCAAATGAATATATCCAAAAAATATTTTAAATATTAGCTCAAAAAATATTAATATTATCTAAACTAAATTTTAGGTGAACTTAGTAGGTTATTGGTTCGGATATATATTTTTAGTTATTTATGTTATATACAGATATAAATTTTGTTCAGTTATCAAAGGTAAAAATCTTACATATATTAGACTTAAAAGTTAAAAAAAAAAAAAAAAAAATTAATTTATTCCATTTAAACCAAACATATGTAAGAATATTTTAAATATAAGATCTAAAAATCACTCGAAATTAAACTTGTGTTAATTTTATGACGTTAATTTAAAAATAAATAAATTTGAAAAAATAAGTGTTAGTAAACAAGTTTTATAAACAAAAAACAGAAAATGGAAAACATAGAATGAAAACTGAAAAATTAGAAATTAGAAAACAGAGAACAATTTTCTGTTAGTAAATGGACCCTTACTTTTATGCTAGTAACTAACCATATTTACTTCTAGGACAAGCTAATCCAGTAGAGTAAGAAAAGAATCAGCATTTACACGAATATGAAGCAAAAGTAAAATAAAAAGGTTTTCATTTATAAGAACATCAAAAGATGCACATAAAGAAGGATTTTCATGGATGGTAACATACAATGGTGGAATTGCGCCCAAAGTTGCTTGAGAAGGATAAGCAGCAGGCAACGCCCCTGGAACAACACCTCCAACATACTGTGATGCTGAAACATCTACTTTGGCTGCTTTTGATGGACCCCCTTCCTCTGCAAGAAAAGGTTTTTACACAGATTAGATTATGCTACAATGAAACAAGAAATCTGCAAGAATATTATCCACTTCACATTCTGTCAAAGACCCATGCATAGCGTTTAAGCTATGTGATGCTAGTATACTACTATAAAAAATTAAAAAGTTGAATGTGCAATCCTCCCTCGTACTGCATGAGCTACTCTAAGATACTACTGAATAAAAGAATTCATGTTACAAAAATCATTAGAGCCACTGCTAACTTGAAATCAGGGGCATAACTAATTGGTAACTACACACACCAATAGTCACATATAAGAGTTACTTGAACCAACCAGACCAAAAGTAAAGCATTCTACTGGCTAAAGGGAGCCAGGAAAATATTTGCACAGAACACAATACAAGACTAACAGGGAAGGGAACCAAAAGTAAAGCATTCTACTGGCTAAACATGTACAGAAAACTCAAACCAGGGATATAAATAAATACCATGTGCTTATTAGCACAAAAAATTCATCACAGAGTATAAAATTAAGTTTGATAAATCTTAGAGATGAATAAATGGACTACAGACACCAAGGGCCCATTTACAACAGTTCTCCAATTTTCTAGAAACCTTGAAAACACTTGTTTTAGACTTTTAGTTCTCCAAATGGAAACCAGAACTACTACCACCTACTTACACACACACACACTCTCTCTCTCTCACTCTCTCACCACCACCTACCACCCACTAGATCAGTTATTATAGCAGATATTTTTAGTTATGTATGGATTAATTTTGGTTTGCATATCAAATGATAAAATTTTACATATATTAGACTCAAATGTAAAAATTGTATATTTCACTCTGCACATATCCAAAAATATTTTAAATATCAAGTGTAATAAAATTATTCATATTATCTGAACTAAAATACGAAATCTAAATTGTTTTACTAAATTTTGGGTAAATTCAATAAGTTATTTATTCAGATTTCAGATATTTTAATTATGTTAAGGTATAAATTTAGTCCAAATATCGGATGTTCAAATTTAACATGTACTAGACTTAAAAGTAAAAATTATATATATTTTGCTCAAACCGAACATATCAGGAAATATTTTATATATTGAGTTTTAAAAAATAACTCAAAATTTTGAAATTGCATTATTTTTTAACGTTATAGTCCAAAACATTGAATTTGGAAAATGAATATTGGTAAACATGTTTTCTAAAGTGAAAACAGAAAATAGAGAATGGAAAACAGTGAATGAAGACAGGAAAACATAAAACAGAAAATGGAATTCTGAAGTTAACGGCTCCAAAATCAACAAGTTGACATCCAAATTATCATACAATAATAAATATATTATAATGGGTAATTTAAACACTCTTAACACTCCCAAAGAATTATTTCTTTGAATTAGTAACAATTTTAAGAAAAGATATGGCCAATATTCTGACAATTCCAACTATTGCCGTTCAATGAAATCAAAGAACATTTGAGCAATTCAGAATCTTGAAAGAGAATCTGAAAACTTATGTTACTGTAAATATTAAGTACTTCAGATGTTTTTATTTTCAAAACAAAAGGATATCCAGCTTTGAAAATTCACTGTATGAAAAAGCAGAGGAGAGAGCATGTGCAATTTATTGGCAAATTGAAAATTTGTGTGAACCCATACCTTCTTCTCCATAGTGGGCAGCCAAGACATCAGGTGGGATACCTTGCATTCCATATATTTCAATATCTGTTGATTCCCTGCCAGGCTTCGCATTCGGCACTCTGAAATATATTATCTTTTATCAGCAGCAAGAAAACAAACTTGGCACAAGAATACATCCTGATGCACCCCAATTGGTTCAAGCTCAATTTATATTTAATCAAAGTCACAAAAAGGCCAATATATTTTCTGGTAGGGCTATGCCAATTGACATATGGAGGAGGGAGAGGTTATAGGAAAAGAAAAAAAAAAAAAAAAAAAAAAAAAAAAAAAAAGGTAAAGATGAATTCAGAATATTTATGTATCAATCCAAAATTAGTCCAACTGATTATGGTGTGTTCTCATCCCTCTTTTGGGGGGTTACAATTAGAGAAGATCTTACAGTAAATCCTGCTTACTAACATGTTGCTAATACCTTGTAATATTCCCATCAAAACTGTTAAAGTTGCCTATTTAACAATTATCAATTAAAAATGTTTGATTTTCTAATTTCTCATCCATTGTGTTACAAAAATAAATAAATAAATAATAATCATTATTTGAAGCTGTTAATTTACTGAAATCCATGAAAGCATAAAAATGGACAAATAGAGCAATGCAATAGCTAATGCAATGAAAGTAAATTCTGAAAAGTGAATTACGGACTTGGTGACGGTCTCTTTGTGGACCTGAAGAACGTGGATGGCCATGCCGCCGGCTGTAGAGAGCTTCTTTTGGCAGACATGGCACTTGAAGTGCTTCGCTTTCTGGTGTTGCACGAGAATCTTCTCGTCGTCAAACTCCCGATCGCAGTAGTAGCACCATACCTTATCGGACGCCCTCTTCTTCTTCTTCCCCATATTTTCAAACCCCTTTTGCTTTCCCTTTCAACTCTAGAATCCAATCTCAAATTTCGATTCAATGAAGGTAAAAGATCGACTGACTTGAACAACGATTTAGAAAACGAGGTGTTTCTTGGGTTTCTTCTGAATCAACAACGAGGTAGAAAGCGATTAGGGTTAGGGTTGCCGTCAAGGTTTCTGAAAAGAACACGATTCTATGGGTTGGTGGGTATAGACGGGGGGGCAAGTTGATCACGAATTTTTACTATACTTCCTACGTCGTATTTCGTACTCCGGATTTATGAATTATATATAATATATATATAGGGGCGTGTTATAAGTGCTGTCACGAAAAAACTAAGAACCAATAGCAGCTGTTCATGTGTCTCAACAAATATAATTAACGAATTAAATATAATTTTAAAAAACAATGTAGTGGTATTTTTGTAAATAATTTAAATTTTGTTGCAAATAACATGTGTTAAAAGTGCAAGTAACTAGTGTAAGTTTATAAGTAATTTACCTTGTTAATATTGGTGCACCTAATGATAACGTTTTTCATATTTGTGCACTTAATGATAATGTTTGGTGTAACTAATGATAACGTTATGTGCATTTAATATTGATGCTCAGTGTACATTATTTGTTATACTGTTAATATATTTTACTTGTACTTTTAACACATTTTACTTGTACTTAAGTGCACTATATGAAACTATTACTTGCATTTTAACACAATTTACTTGCACATAAATGTTCAATTATTTACGAAACGCCAGAGCGTTTTTTTTTAAATCAGTGTTTCTTATTCGTTTGATCTAGACACCTGGACAGTTGTGATCTGTTCTCAATCTCTCTTGGATACTTGGTTCTCACCTGATTTGTCTCTCTCTCTCTCTCTCTCTCTCTCACACACACACACACACACACACACACACACATATATATATATATATATATATATAGTTGGCGAAATGTACGCCATTGATCTCAAGTATTCAATGGTCCATATCTATCTACACGGACTCATGGGAATGGGTGGACTCACTTGAACAATGGCATATATATATAGGCCCTAGTTCACATGAGGACACTAATATATAGAGGACTATGAAGATAAATCATACACATTCAATCCTAGATATTTAGTGGTTGAGATCTTGTCCATATAATGGTGTGATTCGCACTTGAAATTAATTAGAGAGGACAAACAAGACACTTGAGATCAATTATAATTATGGAAGGATTCTAATTAATAAACATAGCATTGAAGAAGGAGTATAATTATGGTAGAGTATAATTAACAAATGATAACGTTTTTCATATTTGTGCACTTAATGATAATGTTTGGTGTAACTAATGATAACGTTATGTGCATTTAATATTGATGCTCAGTGTACATTATTTGTTATACTGTTAATATATTTTACTTGTACTTTTAACACATTTTACTTGTACTTAAGTGCACTATATGAAACTATTACTTGCATTTTAACACAATTTACTTGCACATAAATGTTCAATTATTTACGAAACGCCAGAGCGTTTTTTTTTAAATCAGTGTTTCTTATTCGTTTGATCTAGACACCTGGACAGTTGTGATCTGTTCTCAATCTCTCTTGGATACTTGGTTCTCACCTGATTTGTCTCTCTCTCTCTCTCTCTCTCTCACACACACACACACACACACACACACACACATATATATATATATATATATATATATATAGTTGGCGAAATGTACGCCATTGATCTCAAGTATTCAATGGTCCATATCTATCTACACGGACTCATGGGAATGGGTGGACTCACTTGAACAATGGCATATATATATAGGCCCTAGTTCACATGAGGACACTAATATATAGAGGACTATGAAGATAAATCATACACATTCAATCCTAGATATTTAGTGGTTGAGATCTTGTCCATATAATGGTGTGATTCGCACTTGAAATTAATTAGAGAGGACAAACAAGACACTTGAGATCAATTATAATTATGGAAGGATTCTAATTAATAAACATAGCATTGAAGAAGGAGTATAATTATGGTAGAGTATAATTAACAAACATAGCATTAACGCCATGGTCAACAGTAAGGACCTCAACTCCGTGAATGTAATATTTACTGGAAGAACAATACCCTCTCAGTGAGGGCGGGAATGTAGGGTAACGGGTTAAGAAACCGTGAGCCATACCTGATAAACATGTGCGCCATGATTTAGTATATCGTGTTCCTGATGATTTTAAGTTGTGTGCCACAATAAGACCACAATACAAACTGCATAACTTTACACACAGTGTTGCGCGTAATTGTTTAATGATATATATAAATGGTGTGTATTAGTACTAAAACCAAGCACATAAAGAATATAGGTTCGAGTGAACATGCGGTTTCAGTAATTAATATATGCTTCATTGATTATCTTTTATTGAGTCATATATCTGTACATCTCATGTGTTATATTTGAGGAAATCGTGTGCATCTGATATTAAGTCGTGTGCCACAATAAGACCACAATACAAACTGCATAACTTTGCACATAATGTTGCGTAATTGTTTAATGATATATATATATATAAATAGTGTGTATTAGTACTAAAACCAAGCACATAAAAAATATAGATTCAAGTGAACAGGTAGTTGCAGTACTTAATATATGATTTGCTGATTATCTTTTATTGAGTCATATATTTGTACATCTCGTGTGCCATATTTGAAGAAATCGTGTGCATCTGAATATTACGTCGTGTGCCATAGTAAGTAACCAGGAACCAGGCGATTTTCCAAGGCCTCTACCAAAAGCGTTGGAGGCACCCTAATTCTTGCACTTGAAAACCACACATGCTCCTCCGGAGTAAAATCAGTCTCTGGACCATCACACAAAGGTTCTTGCCGCATCCGATCTACGAAATCCGATGGAGGGTTAACAACATCCCATCATCATTATGCAATTCGGATGAACAACCCTCTGTAGGTGCATCCCTTGCCTTCTTAGTTGCCAACCAACAACATGAACAAACACAATCACTAAAACAAACTAAATGTAACTCAAGTCACATGATGATAACTAAATGAATTGTATTGATTGAACTTGATTACAAAGGTACAGATCATGGGTACATATACAAGGAGAATCATAGAGAGACTAGGATAGGGAATCATAAACTAAATCAAATACATAGAGTCTTAATACTCCCTTTGAAGCACAAGGTATAGACGTGACCTGTAGCTTGTCTCTAAGAAAAGAAAACCTATGACTAGGTAGAGCCTTTGTAAATATATCAGCAAGTTGATTTTTAGTTGAGATAAAGTGAACTTGAATGTCTATATTGGCAACTCTGTCTCTAAAAAAGTGATAATCAATCTCCACATGTTGGTACGCGCATGAAATATGGGATTTGAACACATGTATGTAGCACCAAGATTATCACACCACATCTTGGGAATATAAATGCTATTCACGCCAATCTCACGCAATAGAGATAGAATCCAAATTACTTCAGCACAAACTTCTGCTAGAGCTTTATATTTAGCCTCCATAGAAGATCTAGCAACAATTCTTTGTTTCTTACATACCCAAGACACAAGATTGGATCCAAGAAAACAGCATAGCCACTAATTGACTTACGGTTCTCGGGACAGCCATCCCAATTAGAATCAGAATAAGCATGCAACTCCCTAGATTCTGACTTTCGTACACGCAAACCGTAAGTGATAGTGCCTTTAACATACCTTAGCACACGCTTTAATTGTTCCCAATGCGAGGTTGTAAGAGCATGCATATGTTGACAGAGTTGGTTTGCAGCAAAGGACATATCTGGACGAGTAATCGTGAGATACTGCAGTGCTCCAGCTAGACTCCTATACTGTGTAGCATCGTCATATAAAATTGCACTGAAAGAAGTGGGTTTTGAAACAGATATAGGAGTGGCTAAAGGTTTATAATCTGTCATACCAGCACGATTCAAAATGTCTGTCAATCCCAAGAAAGAAACTAGGTTCACCAAGATCCCTAATCTTGAATTCAGTAGAGAGTTTAGTATCATTGACTAGATTCGTACTACTCCCCATCACAAGTATGTCATCAACATAGACCAAAATATACACAAAAACAGAATCTTGGGAATAACATAACAAAGACACATCTGTTTTCGAAGCATTGAAACCAACTGATAGCAGAAACATATGTAGACGATTAAACCAAGCTCTAGGGGCTTGTTTCAACCCATATAAAGAACGCTTCAAAAGACATACATGATTAGGAAACTTAATATCAATATAACTAGGCAGCTGCTTCATATAAACAATTTCAGATTAAATGTCCATTCAAAAAAGCATTGTGAACATCAAGCTGCCTAATAGTCCATCTAGATGATATAGCTAAAGAGAGAAGTAACCTGACAGTAATGGGTTTCACCACTGGGCTGAACGTGTTAAAGAAATCCTGTCCAGGTACTTGATTAAACCCATTAGCTACTAACCTTGCTTTGTGTCTTTCAATTGAACCATCTATCTTCCTTTTTGTGCGAAAGACCCACTTACACCCAATAATGTTCATGTCTAATTTTGGTGGAACAAGGCACCATGTCTCATTCTGAAGAAGAGCATTGAACTCTTGATCCATTGCCTTACGTCATTCTGGATATTTAACCGTTTGAGGGTGTAGCATGTAGGTTCAGTAAGACAAACCTGTGTAGTCAGAACCGTAGGGGGAGCCTGAGACCAGCTCCGTGTGACTATGGTATGAGAATGAACCGTGGGGCGAGTAGACCGCCCACACGGTCGGTCGCGAGGACGAGCCACTGGTGCAACTGTTGAGGCAGCAGGCGTAGCCGATGAAGCGGGTGGCTCGAGCTGGTTAGCCTGGTCTGGTTCGGGCAGAACTGGCTGAGCCGGCGCGGGCTGGTCAGGCCGAATAGAAGCAGGAGCCATGGGATGAGACTGAAGGATGGACTCAGCCCACGGCTGGTTTTGTTTAGCTGATGGTGCCTGCAAAATATTTTTAGTAGCGAAGGGGAAAATCCCTTTAGGATCTGACTGATTAGACAACCATCACAACATATTCAATTCAAAATTCAATAACAAATTCTTTATTCACCAAGAACTCAAAATAAGGTTCAATGTTAACATCATACTCACATTATTTGAAATTTCTAAGGAAAGATCTAATTTCAGGTATTAGTGTTGGTCTTCAACAACTGGAAAATAAAACTATAAAGAGTTGTTCTTTAGAAGAGTATTAACACAATGCATACCTGATAG